CATCATCATCATCATCATCATCATCATCATCAATATCATCACCATAATCGGGACACCGACGGGGCACCGGCGGGACACCGCGGGCCCCCGGCCGCCCGGAAGGGAATCATTTGGTCCGGCCGCGCCTCAGCCACATGGGACACCAGCGGGACACCGGCGGGACACCGCGGGGCCCCGGCCGCCCGGAAGGGAATCATTTGGTCCGGCCGCGCCTCAGCCACACGGGACACCAGCGGGACACCGGCGGGACACCGCAGGGCCCCCGCCGCCCGGAAGGGAATCGTTTGGTCCGGCCGCGCCTCAGCCACAGGAGACTTTCCTCTCGCCCGCCCACGCAGCTTCGCCTCGCCCGCACGCACGGCACGCACGAACACGAAACCGAAATCGATTTCCCGGTAAGGGGGCTCTCCGTTCCACTTCGATCTCACCCCCTCACCTCCGATACACGTAAACATGAATACGCATTCACATTCACATACAAATATACATACACATATACATATACATACACATGCACATACATATACATATACAAATACATAAACATATACATTTCCATATACATATACATATACATATACATAGACATAGACATAGACATAGACACATACATACACATATACATATACATATACATATACATATACATATACATGTTCAAGTGCAAATGCAACTACAAATACATATACCTATACATATACATATACATATATATATATGCATGTTCATAGACCTATACATACACACATACATGTACAGACACGCATATACATATACGAATACGTATCCCTATACATATACATGCACATATACCTATACATACCAATATTAAAATATATACATACACCTGTACATGTACATATACATATACACATGTATGTAGGTATGCGTGTATGTATGTATGTGTATATGTGTATGTAGATGTTTTTATGTAGAATTAATCCACTAGTTCTAGATAGTGTGAGAAAGAGAACAAAAACAAAACAAACATGAAGAAAGAATGAGCGCGTTTCAGGGGCGTTTGCCTTGGGAACATTCGGCAGCACATTTCGACCCGGGGGGGGGGGCCCCAACACTCGGCGCCGTCGATCAGAACCAGGGGGACTCCCCTCCCCCCTAACCCCCCTCGGCGCCGGCGCCGGCAGCACTAGCGGCCGCCAGCGCCGACGGCGGGGACGCAGCGACGATGACCAGAGGCAGCCGCCCAGAGGGGGGGCGAGTTTTGGAACCCCGCCCCCCCCCCGCGCCGGCGCCGGCGGCGCCGGCGCCGGCGGCAGCAAGCAGCACCGACGGCGGGGACGCAGCGACGATTACCACCACTACCACCACCACCACCACCACTACCACCACCACCGCCACCTCCACCTTAACCCACCAACAACCCACCACACAACCACAACCACCACCACAGCCACACAACCACCACCAGCACAACTCACCACCACCACCACCACAAAAACCCACCACCACTACCACCACCACCACAGCCACAACCACCACCACTGCCAGCAGCACAACCCAACACCACCACCACCACAAACCACCCCACCACCACAACCACCACCACCACCGCCACCACCACCGCCACCAGCACCACCTCCACAAACCACCGCCACCACCACAACCCACCACCGCCACAACCACCACAAACCAACACCACACCACCACCACCACCACCATCACAACCCACCACAACCACCACCACCACAAACCACCACCACAAACCACCACCACCGCCACCAGCAAACCACCACCACCACCACCACAACAAACCACCACACCATCACCACAACAACCACCACCACCGCCACCACAACCACCACAATCCACCACGGCCACCACCACAAACCACCACCCCACCACCACCACCACCACCACCAACCACCACCACCGCAACAAACCACCACCACCATCACCACCGCAACAAACCACCACAACCACCACAACCACCACCACCGCCACCACAACCACCACCACAACCCACCACCACAACCACTACCACCACCACAACCACCACGACAAACCACCACACCACCGCCACCGCCACCACCACCTTAACCCACCACCGCCGCAACTACCACCACCACCACCAGAAACCACCGCACAACCACCACCACCGCCACCATCACCACCACAACCTGCCACCACAACCACCACAACAACCAACACCACCACCAACCACACCACCACCATCACCACCACCACAACCACCACCACAACCACCGCCACAACCACCACCACCACCAAAGCCCACCACCTCCACCACCACCTCAGAGAGGTCCCAAGAGACGCCAAAAGGGCGCCCAGGAGGCTGCACAAATGCCCTTCAGAGGCCCCCGAGATCCCGTCCACGAAACCCCAAGAGGCATCCATTAGGACTCGGACCCAAAACCAAGGGACGGTTGCGGAGCGTTGTCGTCGTCGTCGTCATCGTCGTCGCCGTCGTCCTCGTCGACGCCCCCCGCCGCCGCCGCCCGCCGCCGCAGGCGCCGGCGCCGGC